CACACACGCATGCCCACACTCACCCCACCACCTCACACAGTAAGCTTGAAGTGACATATTACATGTTTTTCTTGATGTGAGTAAGGCCCAGTCTCACCGGTGCCAACTCTTTTCTGTGAGTGGCAGGCTTACATGCACAATGATTCCAGAGTACACTAAGAATCTAGAAGTGCACTTGTCTTTAAGTAAATTATTACAGGAACGTCAATGGATATTGAAAAAATAAAAAAGAGGATCACTTTTTTATGTGTATCCAAAAATAAAGTCAACAAATCTGTACAACAGATAATAATAATAAATACAACATTTTCCTCACCATTCAGAAATATACTGTTGTTAGCTGTTTTATTTCTTTGCACTCTTTGCTCTCTCTTATTCTCTGCTGATTCCCCTCATGTGAATATGTGAATGCACATATCTTCAGGACATAAAAGGTATAATATATGTGCATATATATGTATTTATGCATGTATGTATATATACATATACACACATATATATTTTCTATATTTAAAATAGTAATCAAATCAATTTTTAAAATTAGTTATTGCAGATAATTTGGGAAATGATCAAAAATGTTATGAAGCTATTTTTTTTAAGATTTATCAATTTCTTCTGCTTTGACATTAATTCTAAATGAACATAGTAGTAAATAATAATTATTCAGATGACTTAATTAAAATTTCATAGAGTTATAGTTATGTGATTAATATATAGACCATTTCAAAGTGTTTGCAAAATAATTTGCTCTTTTCCACAGATAGTGCACAAATTTGAGCACACTGCTTACTGTTTTAAGATTTTTTTCTTTATAAGAAATAGCATTATATGCAATGTTTTTATTAGTATTAATTTTATTGCCACAACATTTTTTTACAACACTGTATATGATTTTAGGGTGTAGTTACATATTTCAGATGTGTGGGACCAGTATAAGTCTTTCTACAATATTGATACTGAGTACTTGACTTTTCTATCTTAACTAATGTGTTGGCTACAAAAAATATATAATGTATAGTATTCAAAACTTCACCTACTTAAGAATTAGAGAAAATGTTTTTATCATGTATATACTGGTTATGTTATTTTCTCGTAAAAATACACTGGAAAAGTTTCTGTTTGTTTCCATTTCCTTTGGGAAATTGATAGTTTTGAAATGAATCTTCATGATTTTTTTGTGTTAATGACAATGGTTCTATATACATCACAATTACTACATAGCTGCTATTAAATTTGTGTTTCAAAATTCCACTTAATGGAAAATACATAGAAGAAAATATGTAAAATTTCCTTAATATTTATAATGTTATATTATCAATTTATAATTATAAATTGATTGTAGATGGAACAACATATGAGTCATTATGATGATTAATGACTAGATTTTGTAGCTATGAAACATTTAAAATATTAGTGTATGGACTGTATAAAACTTTTTAATATGTGTCAACATTCAATGTACCATAGTTCCATTGTCTAATAGTATATTGTAGTATTTTACTATTTGCATTTATTTGATTGAAATGGACAATGCTCAAATTTACAATTTTGTTTACACATGTTTCCAACACTAAATAGAAGTATGTTTTAAATGTTTGATGTGATTATAGTATAGAGAACTATTTCATATTTCTGATGAAGTTGTGATTTATTAAAACTGTTCTTTCCAAAATTGGTTGACTCTAAGGTCACTTAGGTTAAACAATAGAAATTTTGTTTCAATGGCTCTCTTGTCTTGCAGCCACTGTAACTGGTAAATCAAGGAGGATGATGGCTAATTTCACCCTGAGTGGGTTTCTACTGATGGGATTTTCTGTCAAGCCTGAGCAGAAAATCATACTTGCTTCTGTGTTCTTAGTCTTATACCTAGTGGCAGTGACTGGCAACATCCTCATTATCACCGTGACTTCCACGGACAGTGGTCTCCACTCACCCATGTATTTCTTCCTGAAACATCTCTCCTTTCTGGATCTGTGCCACATTTCAGTGACGGTGCCAAGGCTTATTTGCGATTCTTTCATGCACAGTGGCTACATTTCCCTCGGGGAATGCATAGCACAGTGTTTTGCTTTCACTCTCTGTGCTTCTGCTGAGGTATCCATGCTGACAGTGATGTCTTATGACCGGTATGTGGCCATCTGCCTTCCGCTGCACTATGACATCATCATGGACGTCAGCAAATGTATCTACGGAGTCTTAGGTGTCTGGCTTAGTGGGATCATATCAGGAACTATGCAAACAGCTGGAACTTTCTCTATTCGCTTCTGTGGCTCCCATGTCATTCACCAGTTCTTCTGTGACATCCCCCAGCTCCTGAAACTCTCTTGTTCGAATGAGTACATCAGAGAGGTCAGGGTCAGTGCCTTCCTGGCTGTTGTGGCCTTTCTTTGTGTCACCTTCATTGGACTGTCCTACATCCAGATTTTCTCTACTGTGCTGAGGATGCCGTCTGCTGAGGGCAGGGCTAAGGCTTTCTCCACTTGCCTTCCCCACCTTGCTGTTGTGATTTTATTCATTTCAACAGGCTCTATTGAGTATCTCAGGCCCCCTTCTGACTCTCCCAGTGCACTGGATATTTTGCTGTCTATTATGTACACTGTTGTGCCCTCCACACTCAACCCAGTGATCTACAGCCTGAGAAACCAAGCCATGAAGGCAGCTCTGAGAAGAGTTTTCCAATGAGGAAATGCTGGCCTCTTTTGTTGAGGAAGTGCTGATCTCTCTTGTGGACACATGTATAAATTCTTGATTGTGATTAAGTTCAACATGTATTGGGAAAGCTATTAACTTCATTAAATTGAGACAAACAAAATTTAAGTGAATTTATGAAAAAATCAACATTGAAGACTGAAGCTCAAGTATAACCACCAGATAGTTTTGATGAGCTAACCACATTTTAAGTTTCTCAATAAGGCTTGTACACAACATGCAATGAAGCATTAACAGACAGGTGTGTGGCGATGTATGCAGCTGATGTTGGTTGTGCAC